CTTTTTTGGTTGCTTTTTCAAATTGACCTGGCCCCTACATCATCAATTCCGATATGGGGGTGGGAACCAGTCTTCAATGTGAGAAACTTAAAAGAGCATGGAGAGTGCATTATGCCAACCAATGCTTCGCTACTAGACATCTCTTCTAGTGAAACGCTTTTTTTAAAAACACCCTTGGGGAAATTATTCCGCTATATTCTGTGGTCAGAAACCTGTGACTTGTGTTGAGAAACTGCATTAAAATTCAATTAACCTGCTTTTGGTAACCTGATTTTTGCAAAGCATGTATTTCATGTGTTAAGAAAATTGTAGTGTTAATTAGCCCTAAATATTAGACAAATGCTGCTAATGCATGGACTCCAACTGCTAGCTAAAATTTCAAACTAAGTCAGACCATGGTCAGACCTACTTCGCCTGTAATGTTTATGTTTACATGGAGTGCCAAGATCTGCACACCAATGGCTTCAGCTACATTTAGCTCCTTAGAAACCAACACGTGTTAGCAAGGGCTGCTTGATGATGATTGATTGAGAGAGACTTGACCAACAGGAAAGGGGGGGGGGGGAAACAGGAAGGGGGCCACAGACCCAAATAAAGGGGGAAGAGACAGTAAATATCAACAGTCATGCAGGGTCGCTGGCATGGCCAAACATTCCAGCACACTTCTAACCAAAACAGATACATATCCCAAATCTGTATGCATCAAGATTCTGAACTGTAAACAGTTTACAAATTGTAAAATAAACCAGAAAGGTTTACAAATTGTTAACCAGATTAATACTATATAGTCTTCCTACATGCGACTAAAACCTTGTTTCAGATTTTTTCTTTAAAGTTCATCCTGCAGACTATCAAGGATCCAACATTTTCAGAGGAGCTTAGCTTAGTCTTAGACTTTGTGTAAACAGCACAAGTGTTTTGGGCTGGAGGAAGCAAGGAGGAGCCAAATCTAATGGCCAGCTATACACATTTTATTTGGGAGAACCATGTTGTACGAACATGATCGTTTTGGGGAGCAGCACTCAAGTAACAAACATCTTCATAAGTCTCTCAGCACCCTCTTGGTCGCAGGGTTAAAGGAGGGGGATTTTGATTAACATCAGGACCCTAAGCTGAGACCCTGGATCTCTCTTTCCTCGCTTTTACTAATGGCAACATATTACAACCAATGCTCAATACTATCCCATCACCCAAAAAAAATCATGGTAAAAAAAAAATCAGTCATAAGGCCAAAAAAAAAAAGTCTCCGGTTTCTGGTATGCGCGCGCGTCGCCGTAGCCATGCGCGTCGGCAAAATGAAAACGTTTTTTTTTTCAATGAAAGATGATGTCTCAAAACCGCCAAACTCACTGGTTTGACTGGAATTCTGCTGCTGCACAATTTTAACGTGTTTTTAGATGGGGTTATGATCGAGAATAAGCTTAATGTAGCCTCTCTGAACTCCCATATATTTGCACTAAGTTTAGTCGGGCACCATTTGCAGTCATCAGTCGACATTTGAAGCAAAAAAGTCAGGTTAAAAAAAAAAAAAAGCCGTGTCGCCGCACCACTTTTTGGACAAGCTCCATACCAGAAACCGGAGACTTTTTTTGGGGGGCCTAATATACAAACTTTGCAGATTTTAGAGGCTAAATGTGCATGATACCTAATAGCTTGGGGAGGGAGATTTTTATCACAGACTAGCTAGTAGCTTTGTCCATAAATAAACAACCCAACAAGGCAATTTTTATAAGTATTTGCCCTTCGACACTACGTGGATATCATCACAATATCTGCAGCATTATGGTGAGGGCCTTGTACACCATCCAAACTCTAGACTAGCTGGTAGCTTTTATGTCCATAAATAAACAACCCAACAAGGAAATTTTAAAAAGTATTTGCCCTTCGACACTACGTGGATATCATCACAATATCTGCAGCATTATGGCGAGGGCCTTGTACACCATCCAAACTCTCCGTGTTGGATCCGGGCCCAACATGGAGATTTGGGGAACCCCACTCACGCTAGCAAGAATCCAATATGGCTTCCACAGGAGCTGATGCTTTACACATGTAAAGACCAGGGTGAACTTGAGAGGCTCTACCAGTACCTCCTTCCTCCATGGTAGAATAGAAAATCTACAATCTATGGCCAACTTGTGTACACAGGGGTGCAAGCTAGTGTGAACAGCATGCCTTGCTTACCCGTGTTCAAAGGGACCTGGCTATACCTCACGCCAAGGGTATGCAAGACGATTGCGTGAAAGTCCTCGAGTGGTATTGTGTGTGTTTGTCACAGTGGCTATTGGCAATTTCAAGTCAAGGTTTGCAGTTCAATTAATTGTTTTGATGCGAATCACAGAAATAACACATCCCCTTCCTATACATAAAATAGCCCCTCTACTGTAGCATCATATCACCCTCGTGACATTAAGATGTGGGGGTGGGGGGGGGTTTGAAGGGCACAACAGCATAATCCACTTATCTGAAATTGACGGTAACATCTTAAAAATTGTACAACCACCAAGAACAGTAGTCCCATTATCCACAAAACAAGCTAGCAACAGTCCATGAGAATGCCAACCACTCTTGACAAGTGTGAAGAAAAAAAACACAGAGATTCTGACCATCATGCCATAATATTTCTAGCCATCAATCCACTCAACTCCCAATTACTCCTTAATGGACTAGCCTTGGGGACAGTGGACCAGGGGGTTCTCTTCTTACTACCATGGCCAATGCTGGCAACAAATGGGGTATCATTCAGTGAGCAGCCACCTGCATGGTGAAGGGCCGTGACTCTGTGACTCTCTGGACTCAGCACTGTTGTGGGAGTTTAACAGGACCCCAGGGCCAAGCCTGGTGGCCATGGTGGGGGAATGACTCCCTCAAAACATGACCAGATAACCCATGTAAACGCACAGGTGCTAATCAATTTATTGTGGAGTTGAGTGAAGGAAAACACTGCTCCCACCTTGAATTTCAATTACGTATTAAGAAACAACTACAGGTTAAGTGGCTCAATTTAAATTACTTTCGGATTTAATTTTATGTAATTAGGCCTCCTGGGTAATTTTATGTTTATTGTGTGGAATTCCAAGAGCCTGTTTATCCAACAAATACAAAAAATTCAAGGAGAAACTGGAAGTGCCTACTAACAAAATAAAGGAGTCACATCTGTTTCCTTCCTCAATGTTAAATCTCTATTAGCAAAAATGTACTTATCCTGTATGACCACTGACCTCTTAATTGTATTGTTATTTTTTTATTTAACTCTCACATAAATTCCCTTTATTCAGTTAATGAAATTGGGTAACCATTGTTGATCTTATGAACTAAGATGCAACATTTGCAAACATCAAAAAACGAAATGATCAAATTATCACGAATGATCTTACTGGACTGTTAGGGAATGACAGTCTAAAGCATCCTGTAAAGTTGTGGCTCCTGGTGTGCTGACATTTTCAAGAAAAATGGTATTTTTCCAACGCTGGTCGGTCGACCAGCATTGGAGAAAACTGGCTTCTTTTTTTTAAAAAGTGCTCCTAATTTTCATATTTAGTTTGTCTGCATTTTCTTTGCAATTGATTACACACCTGTGAAGAGGTGCAAGCCTGCTGGTCTAATTCTCTGATCGTACAATTACTTAAAGTCTATAAATTGCTCCGTTTCATCTTAAATGGGTCAGGGAACCAGACTACAAGAATGTGACTGGTTTTCTTGGTTTTTCCAGCACTTACGAACCCAAAACGTGAAACAAGTCAGTGTAACAATATTTGCTATAACATACTAATCCTCCAAATCCATTTATTCCTGAAAATTGCAGCAAAAGCAAATGTTGTACATTCCCTTTAATGGGAGGCACTGTGATTAGCCTGAAGTAGTTTTTCTTTCTAGCACACTCTGAAGGAGATACTTATTGAATATTGTTGTATTTTAATACTCTATAGATAATTTTTTTGGTATTCTTGTATTTTACTGTCTCGATGTGTAGTGTTGGAGTGTATTCCTCTTGAGTTATACCTTGGGCTATTTTGTATTTTTTTTTGGGGGGGGGGGGGTTCAAAGGCTTGTCGGACCACATTGGAAATAAGCCTTTATGGGCTATCAGGTATGCAACTGGGAATTTAGAAAAAAACGAGGAAACTCCAAACCACACAAGACTTTGTGCAGTGTTTTTCAATTTGAAATTGGTATTTATGAGAAGTAAAAAATGAGGAAATCAGCAGATCCGAGGAAAAGTTGCATGCCTGGACTATCTAGGCACCAGACTTTTTTTGATTTTGTGCCCTGGTTTTGTGTGGTGCTGGTATAAATTGTGCGCTATTTTATTGTGTTCTTTTCCTTACATGTTTAAATTCCCTATTCTTTTGTATTTTGGTGTGAGTGCCAAATAAACCAAACCAAACCAAAAAAGTGAAAAATTGTATCATAATCGTTTTTACAGCCCCATCTTTTAAAGAGAGAAAAGGGTCAGGGAAGAAATTATAAATATTAAAGAAGCAAAGTTGTAAAATGGGTTCAACATAAAAATATGGATTTAAGTTTTCATTCAAATCAATGAATGAAAATAGTTTTTAAATGAATTTATACAAACACATTCTGTTTATTACCAACAATTGGTTTCAAGTAGATATTGAAGAAAATCCTATCAGCAGTGTTGGTGAAATGAAATGCCAAATCGAGCTGATCTTCTAAATGCAGCTCTTGTAGGAACAAAAAACATATGGGAATTAATTTGGCCAATAAATCATATGGCTTCTCTATCTCTTTAATGACTGAACATGCCCTCAAAACATTCCGAGACTGAAACAAGTGATTTCAAAAACTTCAGCAGCTCACGCCGACTTTCTGAATTAGACTGCCATTTGATACAGCCTCACAGGAAAATGCTGATACATGAAAACTTACTGGGCTCTCTTCTGGCCTGATAGTCCCTTTAATGCCTCTTTGGGCACCTTTAAAGGGGTTTGACTGAGTGTGAAGCAACCTGCCCACTATAACCTCCAGCCAGTGTCAGGAATGTTGTATACATTCTCATTGCTCAGTCATTTATTAGGGCATGTTGTTGTGATGGCAGTAACAGGAGGGCACCATATGGCCCTGGGATTCTTGGTGCATAGTTTCTCAGGTGGCTAGTGGCCAGGGGTCTTCTACAATCAACAAGAGAAAACAAAATCCTGTGATGAATTCTCAATTGAATCAAGAACTGCGTTCAGTAGCTCCATGGTGGACTGGATGACTCTTGTGTGTCTGTATAGATGTACACTTACAGGTACCTCATAATATATTCAACTTTCTTTCGAAGTAATGTGAACAGTGGTTTAGTGGTTTTAGGGTTTTGAGTTTTGACGGTCAAACAACCTCAAGAGTACAGGCCAGTGAAAAACTGTTCCACATGGTAAACTTCTTTTCAAAAGTGCAGAGCGTCCTTCCAAACACTGCTTTTGATGAAACGCCGCCGCAAACATTGCATGGGATTTCCCCATATTGCGCAATCAAGTAAACTGACTGTGCCAATAAAAAAGATGAGTAGTCATTCTACAATGCACTGGATCTGTTCACCATGACAGGTCACGCACATCACGCATACATTGACGGATATAAATACCAGGCAGTTGCCTTTTGCTTACTTTCATTTCTTTACAATTATGACAAAGTGCACCGTTATCCTCCAGTGGTGTTTTCCTCAAATTGTTGCAACGAACACAGCTTCCTGTTAGTGTTACTAGATCGACAAAAAATTATAACACAAGACCTGTTTCTAATTAAATTATAAATTTATGAAATTAAAATGACTTATTTAAAGGTACATACAAAATTCAAATGATGTTAAAAAAGACTATTTGCATTCTTGAAACCCGAAACTCTCTGCATTTATTGAATTTAATATATATTTTGGAATCTTGATGCAGTGCACCTGCATTCTAACGCCGGTATTTTAGGCATACAGCTCTGTACAAAAGCTGGTGGAAAACAGAATCCTTCTAAAAATAATTTATCAGTTTCACATGATGGGCTGCTTGCAATGTGTTATTACAAATAGAATAGACTTTGGAGCTGCAGTTCATTTCAGATTAAGTTGAACATCTCCCCCATTCCCAAATGTTCCCGACAATTCCTGATAAATGAAGATAATTCACCAGCTGGAGTAGTAATAACAATCTGAGCTGCACTTGCCAAATTGAATTAGTTGGGAAAAGGCAAGGTGCAGCTGATATAGTGCAAAGGAATGGGAAGAACACCTGCGGCTGATTGCCAGCTCCTGCCTGGTACCAAGAAGTGGAATGGATTATGTAATCACCTGGGCTTCATCACAGGATGCCCTGGGATCACTTGGGAGGGAACCTACCAGGGTGGATAGGGAACAGTTGCTGTCATGAAGATGGGCACACTTATAATTAATTAATTAATGTGGCTTACATATGATGCAGTGTTGGAGTGGATTCAGTAGAATGCTTTGGAAAAAAATGGAAGCGTGTTCAAGTTCATCCACTCTAATTCTATGTAATTCTATGTTATTCTATTTGCAATCCAGTATTCATAGTACTGCTGAAAATTCTAATAAGAAGCTATTTTTAGACAAGTCATTGATAGTAATTCTGCTTGTTCAAGTTCATCCACTCTAATTCTATGTAATTCTATGTAATTCTATTTGCAATCCAGTATTCATAGTACTGCTGAAAATTCTAAGAAGCTATTTTTAGACAAGTCATTGATAGTAATTCTGCTTGTTCAAGTTCACCCACTCTAATTTTATGTAATTCTATGTAATTCTATTTGCAATCCAGTATTTATAGTACTGCTGAAAATTCTAAGAAGCTATTTTTAGACAAGTCATTGACAGTAATGCTGCTTTTGATACTGCTTTGTCAGGCTATAATCAAATGTCCATTCAGAAAAAAGAAAGTGAGTGCGTATGCCTGCATTCAATTTCCTTCATAAATGTTGGGAAAGAAAACAGCAACCTTGCTACATTTCCTATGATTCAGCTGTATTATCAACACAACTTTTGCTTTCATTCTCTCCATTGTTACCAACACAAAAAGGTTATTTTTCAACAAACAAATGTAGGCTATTTTGGGGTTAAATTTAGCATTGATCAGTTTTCCTCATCATGTGATGATATTTATCAAGTGATAAGGGTGTAATCCACCTCCCAACTGTCCCAGAGGGAAAAAGAATACTATTTCTTTGTAATAAAGCTAGTCAGGCCTGGGACTAAAGGTATGTGGTGAAATTTCAAACATTTGGAAATTAAAAGTGAATTGAATTAGTTTCAATTTTGACTCTGACAATTACAGAAAGGAAGTAGGCCTAAAGTTGTACGTAAAATTGAGTAAGCATTGAAAAGTGAGGGAAAATTGTAGGATTATTATATATATAAGTAATAAAATCACACGTATATTGAATTAAAAAGATGAGAGAATTTATTTACAACATCATACTCAATTTGAAAATGGTTGGGTAATTATGAATAAGAAAAGTCGGATATCTTGATAATTAAATTCAAAACCCCCAATTAAAGAACAACGTGTGGGCTTTTCAAACTATCCACTTTTACAACTACCGGTAGCAAGAATACAGCAGGTCATCTACATGTACATGGGTCGGGTGCTCTACACGGGTAAAATCCAAACCAGGTTTGGACCAGGGTTGATGAGATCATACCCAGATAGAAAATCCAAAATCTATTGTCTACAGCCGACCCATGTACAATACAAAGCAGTAAATGGCACGCCAGTGTTTGGTGGGACCCGGTTCTGCTCACTATAGCCCTTTTCACACTAGAGCCTCTCAACCCGGGTTTAACTCAACCCTGGGCGAACCCAGAGCCGCCCGGGTGGAGTTTTTGATTTTTCAACCCCGAGTTCAACCCCGCATCATTTCACACTTGTTTCATGCAAATCAAGCTTATCATGCTCAACTGTTTTAAACCCTGGCAGGAATCTCAACCCTGGTCTGGAGGAGGGTTGAGTTCAACCCGGGCGAAATCAATCTCGGGGTTGACGCAGGGTTGAAATTCTTTAAGTGTGAAACAGTGCATGTTTTTAACCCTGCCTCAACCCCAAGATTTGTCTAGTGTGAAAAGGGCTCATATGTACCTGTGTTGATTTCATATCAACAGGGGGACCGGGGAGGCAAGATGATTGTGTGAAACGGCCTATGGTGACCATGGACCTGCTGCGTGCCGGGAAGACCACTGCACAACCCCCATCAAATCCTCTCAACTCCAACATCAAAGAAAACACTCCAAACAATAACACCAGGAATTCCCAGCCTGGGGCCTTCGGACTGGACATTCCACAGCTGATGCCAGACACAGTCCTCAAAGCAAAGGATGTTATTTATTTTCTCAAGGATGAAGCTAGAGAGAGAGAGAGAGAGAGAGAGAGGGACCAGTCCGGGACCCTCTGCTGATTCTCACTACCCTCCTCCCATGGCACCATATCTGCTCTTCTTATTAAGTGGTCGGAAGCAACTGTGCTTTATTGTCATAACATTTTCATGGGAAGGGGTTTCAAGCTTTCCAGAAATTTTGCAGAAAAATAAGTCCTTGTGAATCATTTTCAAAGCAAGTCTTGGTTGTGTTTGTTGGAGTGTAAATGCACATGTACTTACAGTTACACAACCCAATGTACATGATTCATACTTGGTTCTATGTGTTTTACTGTTACACTACCATAAACTATGGGGTTTTGAGGTACATGTAGTTACTTTCTGTTTCTTGCGTTCTTCTCTTTCCTTTTGATTATATACTATATTTTAAATGAACAGGACGGATTCAAAAGCCTTTTCCTTCTTGCTACTAGTTGCCAACAACTGAACAAAAAGAGTTTGAAACTGTGTGTATTTATGAAAACACACTGTTTTCCGCCTTTGGTGTTTTATTATTCTGCTGAAAAGGTGGAAATAAAGTTCCAACAAAATGTGTGTAATTTGAGTATCTCACTGGAAAAAGTGCCTTCGCATTTTTTCCAGTGAAAGCGCCTTCACATTTTTTTCCAGTGTGATACTAAGCAGGCATGCAACTTTTCCTTGGATCAGCTGATTTCCTCTTTTTTTTTTTACTTCCCACGTGTGCCATTGAAAATAGAAAAACACTGTACAAAGTCTGGGAAAGATTTGAAGTTCCTCTTTTTTGTGACTTCCCAGTTGCATGCCTGATGAAATTACACACATTTTATTGGAAGGGCCAATTCCTTGGAATAAATTGTTCCAGCAGAATATTTTTTTGTTGTCCACTTAAAAAGAACATCACAATTCCTTTGACAGTGTCAGTATGCTCTACCATGGCTCTACAAATGCAAAGGAAACATTTTGTATGATAAACAGTCAAACTAATTTAGAAAAAAGTACAGAGAAAATCAAGCCATTACTGAGATACTGAAAATTAATCCAACAATTCAAATGGAGCTTGCCATCATAAAAAAAAACCTTGCAGTAGTTCTCACACGACACTGTTCACATTTTGTCCTCCAATCCTGCATACCTTCATGCATGCATACATACTCCTGGGTCACACTGAACTTCTACTTTTGGCATTCAGGAATCAGGATGGTGAATAGATGGTGAACCCCTGTACACTACTGATGGAGTCTTCTCCACTTGATAAACAACAGACTGACCTATCCTACAGCTGTTTCCAGGCTTAAATTGAATGAGGGTTCATGTTTGGAATACCACACAACCACCTGACAGGACTATATTTACATTATCGTAGCAATAAACCACATGTTGGACAGCAGGTTTCCTATCATTGCTAACCCATGGGATGGTTATGTGTGGATTCCAATGAAAGGCCCCTGATAATGGGAACATGAATTGCTAGTACTACTAGGATGTGTTGCAATAGACTGTGAAATGCCAATCATTATGTAAATGCTGCATCACACAATTGATTAGGCTGACTGATTGGTCTGATGTACAGTAACTTTCAGCCAATCACAAGAACTAATCTAAAGTATCCACCTACAATTACACAAACTACACATAATTTAAGTGACTTGAGATTGAAAAAAAATGGGTGGTTTACAAGTGGTGAAATTTTTGTTTAATGTGGGCAAAATAACATGAAAAGATGATGTTTGTCTTGCCTGACAAATGCTTGTCAGTTGTCTGTACACACAAAAGTAGATGAAAACAACTGACTATGACTGGTCTTAATACAACCAAAGCCAAAATATTCTGAACAAGCATGAAAGCATACTTTTAACCCCAGATCTACACATCAATTCTTCATAATATATAATATTCAAACATTGAAAATTCCTAAAGATTATCATGCCTGAAAGAATCCACAAAAGCAACAGCTACTACATATCTCTTTTCTCAAAACACCAACATATCCTGTGAGGAAGAGCCTGTGCTCAAATGAAGTCCTGGAATTTAGAGGATACAGTAAAGAATGAAAGAACCTTGGGCAGCAGGGATTATCATTTGACCTACCCTTGGGGCATCCAATCAGGTGGAGTGGTGACCACATTTGACAGTATCCCTTGTTTGTTTTAGGGGAAACCCCACAACTGGCCTGATGGGTCATAACAAAACACCATCTTAGGCTGTTTCTCAGCTAATCATGTCCCCCTGCTGTACATCTAAACAAACCCTTTTTCAATTCAGAGAGGATCTGTTTCACAGCTCTAAGAGATAACAAAGAATTAACTACATCATCTGTGCATCATTACTGATTAGATTTTATAATGCTTGTACTTGTTGATATATTTTGCAAACGAGGAATGTATGATTTAAAACAGAATTTTGCTGGTCCCAGAGTGCCAGCCTAGCGTCCACCAATCTCAGTGACGGACTTATTTGCTAGACTGTCACTTGTGAATTAGACTGGTTGCAGTGCTATCGTAAAGGATTATCCTGTAAGTTGTTACACCAATGAATGGGCTACATCCGGCCGATAGTGTAGACCAGATGCATAAGAAGGCTTTAGCTTTACCAGGCTTGCCTAGTCTTGTTTTTAAAGGAATAATCTTTGAGCCTTCAATTAAAAATATTGAAAATGTCAATTAATGTACATGTATGTCAAATGCAATGTGTAGATATTTCATGCCTCCATGCATGAACCACATGTTTCAATATACAGTTACAGACAAACAGGTTCAAACAGTGACTGAACTTGTACTTGAACCCACTTGACAATTCCAATCTGGTATGGATTTGGTATGTACCTCTTTATGTTTTCTTTGGACTTAGCGAGCTGAGCTAGACCAGCCAAGAAACTTTCCGCCCAAATCCTCTTGTTTAAAAGTTTTTATCCCGAAACAATACCATCCTGTCTTTGATGTTCTTCCTTCGCTAATTGAGTCCCTCAGGTTGGCATTATGCTTGCCCCACTTTGAGGTCTGGGATTCATCAGTTTTGTAACAATGGACAGTCAAAGTGGGAGAAGGGTGTAAGCTTGTACTCGTAAGTTGTAACAGGACGGCCCTATGATCTGGTACAAAGTGCAATGGGATTATAGTAGATTTGTGGCTAATAGAGGATGTGCTCTGTAAAATAAGACTTACTAGATCCTAAATCCTCTATTAGAGACATTCGCTGCATCAGCTCACCATAGAGAAGCTGTGTGTATGATGACAATTTGGAGTCCGGTGACAAAATTAACCCTTAATTTCCATCAGAAAGAAAGAGCAAGGTCTGGCAACCGTCAGTGTGTGCCTCAGATTTGTGCATTCAGAGGGGAGGGTGGGAGAGGAAAAGAAGGTCCTATATTATAAGGCCCTTTCACACTACATTGTCTCCCCTACCTGTGTTGAAGTTAACATGGGTCCACCATGAGTAGAACTGCGTCCCATCGAACATGGGTAGGCAAGGCAGTATGCATACGGTTCGGCTGTAGATTTTTGATTTTTTTTACCTGTGTTCTCTCAACCCTGGTCCCTACTGGGGCTGGAATTTACCTGTGTACAGGGCGAGTAATAAAAAAGGAAACTCAAAAGTCAGGACCAATTTTTAAATGAAGTTCTGCATATGTAACACTTTCAAAATCTAGGGTATGAAAGCCCAATTAATAAGCTTTCTTTTAGTACAAGAATCATTCAGGTAAACAATTCACATACATCCCTATGTGAATTGTTTTCGTTTTGCTGAAACAACACTTACCTTTTTTGTGATCGGTGGACTGAACCCTAGTAAAACGGTGTTTGTGTTTAAAATTCTGTAACTTAAAAAGTACATGAGTGATTTGAATGATTCTTGTACAAAAAGAAAGCTTATTAATTGGGCTTTCATATCCTAGATTTTGAAAGAACTTCATCAAAAAATTGGTCATGCCATTTGGGTTTCCTTTTGTTTGACTCACCCAGTATATCACTGGACCCATGTAGAAACCATGGATTCTCGCTAGTGAGAAAGGGGTTCCCAAACTCTCTGTGTTGAGTATCCGTGTGAAAGGCCATTTAGAGAATCTTTTGGCAAGCTTGGTTTATTAATATTATCAACACTGAAGCAGTCTATATTTGTAAATCTATAAGTTGTAATTCATAATAACATGTTTACCATAATACTTACTAGTGGCAATATTCCAATCGGAACCTCTACCCATGTCAGACAAGCAACACACATCAGAGTAGCTAAAAATCAGTGTAGCTAAAAACTGGTTTATGATACCCCAGGGCCCTTCTTCTAAACAAAAATCTAAGCCAATTTGCTCAGTTTGACATTTCCTCTACAAATTTTAAAAGTCTAGACAGTGGTTTCCTGGTCTGAACATCTTCATTTCATAAACACAACTGGGCGTCTTCATTTACTCAGGATAACAGTGTCAAGTTGTCAGGTACTGTAGGCTTTAAATTGAGGTCTGACAACTTGTTGACATATGCATTCTGGAATATGTTTTTTGGTGATAATGCAAAGTTTAGACGGACAATCACTGCAAAGTCTGACTAACAAATATAGGGTGTAAAATTGTGTGCATTTTTAGCTTATTGGTATCTCATAAATGTTGAAATGTGCGTGTTTATATAACTCTGTTTTTTTTGGCTGAGGTATAGGAACCAATTAGCACCTGTATAGCCCACACTGCCCTGCCTGTTACTCTTTGTAGAGTCCTGTGAATTTAGGTTTTTTTAAAATATGGACTCATTGGTGGTATTGCTCATGCATAGATAATTAGGAGAGGGACTGGTCACGTGAGAGGGTTTAACCAATAAAAGGAAAAAGGAGTCTAAATTTCACAGGAGTCTGATTTTCACATCACACCGGAACTGACTGAGAACTCCATGGTTTGTATCAGTGAATAAATACCACGTAATACAATGTAGTACAGGTGCAAATGGGTTAATAGCTTTTTGCACTGATACAAGTATAAGAAGAAAGCATGGCTCACAATACAAGACATACTTTTTTGCAACAGCTCTCATATGATGGAGTGCTTACTAGAGCAAGAAGCCAAATATTGCCAGTACAGCCACTCTTTTAACCTAACTAACTGTTCAATAACGGCCCACGCTTGAAGGCAATATATTCCAAAAAAAGATTCAGTACGGTCTCTGTCAACTCTCTACAAAGCTTTCACGAACAATGACAGTACCGGTATTAGATAAAAAGAATCTTTTAGAATGGACGCTTTGTTCTTGGAGTAAAGCCCCCTTCCCGTGACAGTACCTGTGCTTTTCAACGTCAGAGAAAGCCAGTTTTCCAAGATGGATGTAGAAGACTTATGACCACACATTGTGACATTATTCTGAGGTGTAAAATTAAAGATAACATATAACATTTGCAACCATCAAAAAACAAAACTACCAAAATATTATGAAATACCTTACCTGACTGTAAGTGAATAATAATAGTCTCAAGCCTCCCGTGAAATTGTGGCACCTGGTGTGCCGTCATTTTCAAGAAAAGTGGAATTTTTGTATCAATTTCCAACGATGGTCAGGTGACTATTATTGAAAAACAACTGACTCTTTTTCAAATACTGCCCCCGATTCAAAATTTCGTTTGCAATAGGTTACACATCTTGGAACGGGTG